ATTGTTCCTGGTTTATGGCCTCTGTAAAATGTGAGTATTTAGGTAACAGGTCTTGAAAGACCAGATTGTGGAGGAAAGGGGCAGTGACTTAATTATAGGTTATCAAGAATGTATATTAGGTTACTGCACAGATTCAGATTGTAGCCCCCCAAACATCAGGGTTACATTGGAATTAGCCTTTTAGCCTTCTCAAACTAATTTAGTTCTTGGTGAGGGCTGTCTTCCTGGTTTGCATATGCTCAGCTTCTCATAGTAGTAGCCTCATATGGCATAGAGAGTGCAAGCTTGTCTCTCTTCTTATAAGGACACTAATATCATCATGGGGGCTCTACCCTCATGATCTCATCTAAACATTATTACTTCTCAGAGACCCTACTGCCATCACATTGCAGGTTAGGGCTTCATAATATGACTTTTGTTGGGATTCAAACATTAAGTCAATAACAGGTCTCATCTAAGACTGCATTTAGCGAAGATTCACTTCCAAGCTTGCTCACATGGTTGTTCGCAGGATTAAGTTCCTCTGGGTTGTTGGACTGAAAACCCGAGTTCCTCTCTGCTCTTGGAAGGAACCTTCCAGTATTCCTTGCCACATGGGCCTTTCCAGAGGGTAGCTCATAGCAGCTGTCTTCCATAATAGGCAGCAAGTGAGAGAGCAAGAGAGGGTGTGTAGGATGGGGACCATGTTCTCTTTGTGATCTAACCTGGACATGATATCCACCACTTTTGCCATTCTCTATTTATTAAAAGCAAATCATTAGGTCCAGCTCATACTAGGCAGGGGACTACACGACGGCTAGAATACCAGCAGGTAAGGATCACTGGGGGCCATTATAAAGGCTGCTTAGCACAACAAGGTCTTGTAGCTATACCCTTGCTCTGAACTTCCTTAAGGCCGTATTTCCTTGATGTCACCTTGGATTTGACCTTTGCCATTAGGTTTCTGTGACAGCAGGACCTCCCGTTTAGGTATGCAATTATGTTTCAGTCATCTATTGCTGTGTAACAAAAACACCCTTACAGCTTGGTGTCTTCACACAACAGCACTCACTTTTTTTGCTAACAGTTTTACAACTTGGGCCAGACTCAGTGAAGACAGCTCATCCCGCCTTCATGTGGCGTCAGCTGAGCAGCTAAACTAGGGCTGGATTACCCACTTCCAAGATAACTCACTGACAAGCTGGCAATTGGTACCGGCTGTCCGCCGAGAGCTCAGCTGGGGCGGTAATTCCCTTCCACGTGGGCCTCTCCACATGGCTGCGTGGGCTTCCACAAATAATTGGAGGGAAGTGATTGAATCTCAGAACTATTTAGGAGGTAAAAAGATCAGGAGGATGTTGCACAACAATGTGAATATACTTCATCCTACTGTACACTTAAAAATGGTTAAGATGGTAATACTGTGTTGTGTGTTTTTGCCATAATTAAAAGGTAATAAATAAATCAGGGAACGGTGGTGACAGCCTGGAGGTGGGTGAGAGTGTGGTGAGGGAGAAAGAAACAATGTCAAGGATGACAAAACCCAATTAAAACACAGACTCTGGCCTCAAAAAACTTTTTTTGGTCCAGCAGAGGATGCAGAAGAATTCATCACAACACATGTGGTAGACACTGTACCTTTCTGCTGTAGTGCTAACAAAGATACAAAGCCCATGCCTCAAAATAGACCTTTCTGCCTGCGATTCCCAGAGAGAAGCATTTAAGACATAATTATAGGTTTAGATTTCTTAAAGCATGCCTCAAAATGAACACTGCCAGAGAAGCAGAGATGAGTAATAAAAACTACAGGTGCATACAATCTTTCCCTACCAATCCAGCATGGAACCTGGTAGGCCAGAAGCAATGCGGTAGGGTGGTGGGCAGGACAGAAAGCAGATGTTTCTTGGTCATTAGCCCTTTTTTTTCTAGGATATAAAGTCCCTTTGTTGTCTTATGACTTGGTGCATCTGGAAACTATTGCTACTGCGGAGATCTCACTTTTGGAATTCTCTTTCTTTGAAGTAGTAAACAGGTAATAAAGATCATTTATATCCTGAAGGAATGTACATGCCCCTTCTCCCCGCAACACCATCACCTCCCACACAGTCAAACTCTTTCCCCACACTCACGAGGTTTTATAAATAGCCAAATTTACAGATTTTTGAGTTTTGCTGGCAACACGATTCTATTGTTCTTTTGATAAGCCTAAAACCATCTTAATAGAAAGGACAAAAAAAGGAGCCCTCCTTTTACTGGCATAGTACTCCCAACCCACACACTTTTCTGAAAACACTCTGAATTTCACTCTCGCCGTTGACTCAATATTCTAGGTCTCCCTGCTTTGTTGTGAACTGCCTGAAGCGTCAGCTGACTGGCTGAGTGGTGCGGTTTTATCTTTCCCTTTCTTGAAATCTCATCAGTTGTCCCATTCTGCACAAGCTCTCTATCTGGGGTCTCCCCTCTGCAAAATAACGAATAAAGATCACTACCATGAATCTTCCCAGTGCCCTCACGGCAGCTCTCCATGCTCAGACGCTGCCACGAATTCAGACCCTCCTGCCCCGCCAGGGAAGAACCTAATGTCATTCAAGCCTGAAAATCAAAACTGTTAATGGGGGGGGGGGGGGGGGATGAGGACACATTTGTAATACCTTAACTAATAATAAAAAAAAAAGAAGAAGAAGAAGAAAAAAGAAAATCAAAACTGATAAGACGACGTGTTATTCATTAAAAAATAATTATTGAGAGCCTACTATGGGTTAGGCACTGCATAGGTATTGGGAACACAACAATGAGCAAGCCAAACAAGGATCGCCGCATGAAACTTACTTTTTTTTTTTTAATCCCAGAGATTTTTGACTTTTAACAATGGACAAAGTGCTGGCTTGGCTTAAAGACAAAAGAATCAGGTTCTCCGTTTGGAATGAAGCCACATTTCCCCTGAGTGGGGGTAGGGGAGGTTCTCCCAGCATCCTGGAATCACACACCTTCTACATACTTATATAGTCTGACTGGAACCATCAGTGACTAGATCAACTGTCATTTTTCTTGGGCCTTTGCCAGGCTGCAGCAACACAATGCCTTTCTGTGAAGGGTATTCAGTAAAAGGCAAGAAAGGGCAAGGAGGGTAAAGTGCTGGCATTGCCGGTCAGCACAGGAGCCCAAGACCACCACTCAGCCATTGCTCGGGAACACAGTGCCCCCTCGTGGCTCCTCACATACCAGAGTGAGGAACTGGAAGTGGGACGTCCAAGTTTCCAGATTAACTGCCTCCTCCGAACTTCTATTGCTATTTGAAGACCCTGGGTTCATTTTTATCCAGGACACACCTTTCTTTTCCCAGAGAGAGAAATGACATCATGACAGCCATTAAACCTCCGCATCAAAATCTTCAGACTCCCCTCACCACCAAGAAAAACCCAAGTATCACTACTGGTTTTCTCTTCACTATGCCCTTAAAGCAGGTATTTTCTTTGCTTTCCGCAATTTAAACCAGGATGTGCGATTATGTTGCCGTGGAGTTGTTTGGGGTATCTTGTCGCCACAACACCGCTTTGAACTCCCCAACACGGAAGCCTTATCTTCAGTTCCCACCGCTGCCCTCTCCCCTGCCCAGCGGCGCTCAAACCAGTTCCTAAAGACTGTCCGCTGGGGTGGGGGTGGGGTGGGGAGATAAACAGGGAAGTAAGCAAATAAATAATTAGCAATGGTGATGGTTGCTGTGCTAAAGGAACGCCATGCTGGGAGGGGGAATTCCTGGGGGTGGGAAGTGAGCCAGAACCTACTGCTGTACCGAGTTTTCAATGTGTGTGTTTGTAGCAGTCACGTTTGAAAAGCTTAAATGATACAGTACTGGAAAAGCTCTCTATGGCCCAGGAATAAATGGAACAATGTTAATAACAATGTTAACTTCCCTGTATTGTAAACTTAAACTGGGTAAGAATGCGTGCTGGGTGCTATCGCTCTATCTACCAAACCATGATCGACTCTAACTGCAAACTGCTGGGAGGTAAACAGAACTACACCCACTTCGCAGGTGAGGAAAGGAAACGAAGCGGTCCTCCCGAGGCTGGTGCGCCAACAAGCCTCGTGCTCCGACCGCCTGGAAGGCCAGCCCTTTCTTTCAGGGGCTGCGACCCTCTCTCTGAAGGTCTGTACTGGCCTCCAGTTGGGCTTGCAGGGAACACATATTTGTCCAGTGTCTACTGCATACCAGGTCGCGCATTTTAAAAGCCGTGAGACTAAAAGATAAACAGGTTACGGTCTCGTCGTCCAGGGGGGAGCTCTCAAAAGAGTGAGAAAGCCAGCCAGGTAAACAGATAAATCCCTGAACAGTCCGGGGCGGGCAGCGAGGGGGGTCTGCACAGGGGCCCGGGGAGCCCAGCGGAGAGCCACGGCGGCGGCGGGTTCGCGGGACCCGGCGTGGGAGGCGGCTGGGAGCTGCGCCTCCAAACGCCCACGCGGGCGGCCCCCGGATATCACTCGCGTTCTCGCATCCTGTCATTTCCAGCTGCCGGCTAGGAAGGGGAGGAATGGGTCTAATCCGGTCCTGAAAAGGAGGGGTAGGCTTCGGGGCAGGGGGTGCCGATCCCCTGTGAGAAGCCCGCAAACAAAAGTCGCACATCACACTTGGAGGGGGTCGCACGGACAGGGCCTGGCTCTCCGGAGCCCCGCACCCAACTCACGCGCCCCGCCCCGCCAGTTCACCCACTCGGGGCCCCGCACGGCCGTCGGGGCGCCCCGAAGCAGGCGAACCCTGAGGCTACCCTGAGGACTGACCATCCCTCCCCTTCAGCGGCCCTCACCCTCCGACCAACCGCGGAGCCGGGGACTGGGGGTCGGCCGCGTCCCCCACAGCCCGTAGCGGCGTAGCCCCTCCCCAGCCCCTCCTCTGGCGGGGGGCTTCGCCGTCCGCGTCCCGTCCCTCCCGGCGACAACCAACTGCCCTGTCCGGGGAGGCGGAGGCAGGAGGAGGAGCGGGAGGGGAGGGGGGAGGAGGGAGGGGAGGGAGGAAGGCGAGAGAAAGGGCGCTGCTTCGCTCCCGGACTTCCCAGAGCCTGCTTGGAGCGCGCACTCAGCGGCTCTCGGGTCCCCGCGTCCCAGCGTCCCAGCCGCGGCCCGCTCCTCCTCCTCCTCCTCCTCCTCCTCCTCCTCCTCCTCCTCCCTGGGCGCCCCTTGCCCCCGCCTTTCAGTAGCTGCTAGGCTCGGGCTGCGGCCCCCCCAGCCCCTACTCGGCCACCTCCCCAACTCTCTGGGGTCCCTCCGGGAACGCGCGTCCTCGCCCCATCCTTTCTTCCTTCCTTCCCCCGCGCCCGCCCTCGCTCTCCAGGTCTCCCGCCCGGTCCCGGTGGCCTCGGTCCCCGCTCGGTCAGCCGGCGCCTCGCCCTGCCCGGAGCCTCCCGCGCACTTCCTGAGGCGCCCGCCCCGCGCCGCGCCGCTCCCGGGAGCCCGAGCCGCCGCTGCCCGGCACAGCCCGCCGCGCCCGGGGAAGGGAAGAGTGGGCGAGCGCCCCGCGCCCAGCCCCGCGCCCAGCCCTGCCCGGCGAGGGAGCACCGGGAAGATGAACAACGGCGTCAAAGCCGAGAAGGAGAACACCGCGAGCGAGGCCAACCTTCAGGAGGAAGAGGTACGGAGGGGCTCGGGGCGCCGGCCGCGCGCGGGCTTCCTCCCGGAGCGGGAGCGGCCCCGGACCGTGGCCCCGGGAGGGTGTATCCGCGAAGAGAGTGTTGTTGTGGGTGCGTGCCTCCCGTTGCGTAACTTTGAGGACTTTTCGGAGACTTTTCGGAAGCATAATGCTCAGCTTTGTTTCCCCGAGATTTTTAAAAGCGGAATCGAAAACTGACTCCGGAGTGACCTCAGGTCCCGGGGACGCGGAGGGTCAGGACCCAGCCCTGCGTGCGGCGCGGGGAGCGGCGGGGTGTGCGGTTTAAGGAAGAACTCGGGGAAAGTTCGTCTTCAGCGATACCTCCTGCGCCCTGCCCCCTCCCTCTCGGCGCTGAAAGTTCTGGGTGAAATATCTTTCCAGCGGAGGCACTTTGGATTAATAGATAACTCCTGAGCCGCATTCTTCTCTGATGAGTCAAAGACCCCGAACCTGGGTTGATTAGGTTTTTGTAAATTTAGGGCGACGCGGCGCCGAGGAGTAGGGGGGGAGGGGGGCAAAAAAGCGTAAAAAGTTACAATTCACCAAGTGCTCATCGAAGCTATTTTAAATAGGACTTTGACTTCTGAGCCTGAATTTCTTGTGGTGGGTCTGCGCAGCGCTCCTTTGATAGAAAGAAAATTCAGTAAGGGTGGGAGGGGACTCCGGAACACACGTTTCAGAATCGTGTCAATATACTTGTGGTATCGTATGTGATGCTTCTGTTCCTGCAGGTACAGTATCTGGGGTCCAAGAAGCAATCCGTTTCGCCCTACCTGAGTTCTTAAACATTCTAAAAAGAGCTTTAGAGTGCGTGTAGAATGATGCAAGCAAGTATGCATCTAGATAGGACCTATAAAGCATTCTTACAGGTATTCATCCTAACAGATAAGGTTGACAGAAAGGTAAACTGAAGCTAAACTTGTAAAGCCTTTAGGGTGTTAAGATTACTAGTACTGAGATACTGTGTGTAATCTAAAATTCTGATAGTGAAGGCAAGCTTTCTGGAGGGTTTAACAAATGCCTATAAGCCATCAGCACATTGTCCACTTGTAAAATGGGGCATATTTAAATGGGGAAGATAGAGGAGAGACCTATGAGAGTATGCAAAATTAGCACCAGATTTGAATCTTAACACAATTGTATGGTAGTGTGACCTAAGTGAATTGCTGCAAGCCAAAACTTGCCTTCTCACTGGAGGAAATTGCCTATTTGATTATAAACTGTTAATTTGAAAAGTGTTGTTTACATTCTTGTGTTTAACTATAAGTGAAGGAATAGTATAGACATTTTCTTTTTCAAAGAGGTGAAGGTTCACATTTCAAGTCCCACTTTTCCTTGAACCTTACTGGTTGCTTTGCTATTTACTTTCCCTACCTTTGAAGTAAAATTTAAGAAACATGAAAAGTATGCCATTTTTTAGAATTGCTACATTTAACTATTTCACCTAACACATCACTGTAATACTTGATTTAGAAACCTTTCTATTTCAATTGGGTTGGCAGTCTGTTTACTTCTAAGGGTGGGACTATATTGTATGAAGCTATCTTTCTGTGTGTTCACCCAGTTGAGAAAACTGGTAAATGGAAAAAAGTTAAATGAGGCAAACCAATTTTTTTTTTTTTTGCTTTTGGTGTAGGTAGCAAAAGAGGTTTGTGTATTCCCAATCATAACCTACTTAACTTGACAAAGTTAAATAGAGAAAAGCCACATTTTTCTGCTTGACCTTTCTCAGTCTAACGGCTGACAGTACTGGAGGTGTTGTACCTGTGAGGTTGTGTCCAATTAGAATCACAGGCGATCACAGTACAGTCACTGCCTTTTCCCTGTCCTGTTGCCTTGACTGTTCCCTTTCAGGTGGGAATGGCATGTGACTCAAGAAGTGTCCGTAGTCTTAGCAAGGTATTGGTTATTTTTAAAATAAAAGGACAGTTAGGAAGATTTCAGAACCCAAGTTGAACAAGAGGTGAAGAGAGAGGGTTTATAATGTTAAAATTTCAGGAAAAGTGAGTAGGTTGACCTGAATGATCCAGGTAATTTTGCCCTAATTCCCTGGTTTGGGTTTATGTTTTGATTTGGAAAAACTCCTAACCTCTTTTGTCTAACCCTGAAAGCCACAAGTAAAATAAATATGGTTTTTAGTGAGTCCCATTAATGTGCTCAGCATTATACAAAACCACCACCCTGGATCCTTTTCCCGCCCACCCAGCGATCAGCAATTTGTCCTCAAACCATTTAAAAGTCTTAGCTGAGGACTCCAGTAAACAGCACACACAAACAAAATGTATATACACATAATGGCAAGAGTGGAAAAAATGTGTCTTGTTGTAGTTTCTGGTGGTGATTGAATTGATGGGGAAAAGAGTACAATCATCAAGAGAAAATAGTTTATTTCATAGATCATCAGGGTAATTTACTCTCTCTGAGCCACATTATAGAATCCAAGTAATTTTTTCCCCTATTTTTAAAATAAGTTTCTTTTATCTTCCTGGACATTTTATCCCAGCTTCTAAAGCTTACACTGAAGTAACTGATACAAAAACACTTATTTGATTACAACTATATAGATTGAGCAGTCTAGGATTTAGGAGAATTTTCTGCAGCTCTTTAAGTTTGGAAGTTTTTTAGAACTTGGGCAGGACATAGACTTCTGCTTTGGATAATATTTAAGACTTTGAGGAAAAAGTAATTTTAAGATTTGGCTAGCCAACTGTGTAAGAGATAACACATCTGGCTTTCTGACTACTAGTATGCTATACATGTGCATTGCTATGCAAATTGTTCCTATCAAGGAAAACCGGCTGTCAAAATGTTTCTGGGACCTGAGAGTTATAAGGCTTATGTAGAGGGTATTAGATTATTTCTTACATCATTATGCAATTAACAAAATGATTCCTAGAATTTGCCTCTAATTTTGGACTAGGCAGTATTCTCTGAAACACCTTTGGTAGTTTACACTTGATCAGACTTTATTAATGTATAAGTAATGATTAAACTTACCAGTTGTTTAAAATTTGAGCTCTTTTAAAATCTAGTAGTAGGTAGAAATAATGTCTTTTTGGTCATTGACTTTTCAAAATAGGAATTTCTTTTTGGGAAATAAGCTAAATATATAATTTGGTTTTATTTTTACTTTCATTTTCTCTGTGTCATTGGGTACTTTTTAGGCTGATTACAGATTATTTCTTAAAGTGTTTTATTATGTTGAGGTGCTGGTGTTAGAGTAATTTCTCCCTAAATTGCATTGACTGAATTTTCTTGTACTTAAATCTAAAAAAGCAAAGAACTTGGCAGTGTTGGAATGTTTATCAAAAAGATGTTTGGCAGATGTTGGGCAGAAATCACGTAAAGTCAGTTTTTCAGAAATTAATACAAATCTTTACCTCACATTCCTTCTTTTAAAGTGGTTAGTAATTTTGCCAAAATATCAGGGTCATGAAGAAAATTGTTTCTTGTAATTGGCACAGAGAAAGGGTACCATGTCAATTTGGTGTGGCAACCTCAGGTTTTCATTGAGTGTTAAGATTCATCTATATGATGACGGGAAAAGTACAGGACGGTTTCATAAAATTTAACCAAGCCAGGAGTTTCTGTTACTCCAACTCAGATCTAATACAATAAACTTATACTCAGTCATAGGATAGATTTGACGACAAGAGTGTTGGATGAAAATGTGGTGACTTCATAGTAAAATGATGCTGCAAGACCACTGCCAACATAGCATGCACCTTTGTTACTTTCCCAATAACAAAAGTTATTGGTGGTTCTTCCCTGATAAACCCTTACGTTCATGTGCAGGCTTCATTGTTTCCAATGGCATTTGTTTATTGGATAGATGGTTTGGCTAGGACAAAAGGGATCAATGATGGGATGGGGAAGAAAAAAATGTTTTGGGGACTTAAACCAACAGAAATGTATTTCCTCCCAGTTCTGGAGGTCAGAAATCTTAGAAGCAATGTGTCCGCATTGCCGCACTCCCTTCTGAAGGCTACCTGGGAGAATCTGATTTTGTCTCTTCCTGCTTCTGACTACATTTTAATTGAGGGGATAATCCTCAATGTTATAACATTAAGTGAAAAGAAAAGATTTTTAATGTCTATACCACATGATGCTAGTTCTTTAAAAAACATATGTAAAATCAAATACTAATAAAAATGATCAGATAGGTGGATTATAGATCATTTTTATTTACTTTCTGATGTTTTTCTGTGCTTTCTGGATTTTCTAAAATGAACACGTGAACAAAAACAACATCTTTTGCTTTGTAGATGTCATTACATTTCTTTGCCGTATCTGTAGGTGTCATGAAACCATTGGGCTGGTTACATTCTGTTTTGTTCACAAGCGTGGCTGCAGGAATCCAACCTCTTTTGTTCTCCTAGACTTTCTTCATGTTTCTCACTTACTCCTTTATCCTGGCTCATTTTGGTAGTGTTGAGCAGCTCTTTGTTCTAATCTGTTTTCTCAATCCATCCCTACACCCTATTGCAGTGCAGTGTCCTCTGACCCCTCAGCCTCAGCTCCTTCAGCGCTGCTCTGTTCTCCACGCAATAAGATCCTAACTTGACAGAATTGCCTTAACGTACTCTGCAAACCATTGGCTTCACCCACTGTTTCCCTCTTGATTTCGCCTGAATTGCTTTCAAGTTTCAGCCTTCATTTTTGCAGGATCCCATCACCCAATCCCAAAGAGATGCTTTTCCTCAGAATTCCAGTTATCTCTTTAGCTTTCTGTTATCTCCGTTTAGCTCCTGAATCATTACCTTCTTCTCTGTAGTTTTTTTTTTTTAAAGATCAATGACATCTTATCACAGTATTCCCAACACTCATCACCTACCCATGGGTAGTACCCTAGCACCAGCGAAGTACCACACAAAGTTGCAAGCTGCACACACACACACACACACACACACACACACACACACACATTCTCACACACTCACTCATACATACACACTTCTTTTTGTTTTTTAATATATTTTATT